CTATTGTTTGGCTCATCCTTTGTTTCTTTGCTGTCTTGACTTAAATTCAATTTATGAATTTTTTTAAAATCAAGATCACTTAAAAGGCCATAATCACTATCATTACTTAAATTTAATCTTCTACTTGTATTATTATTACTATTACTGCCACCACCAATATTAATACTATTAAAATTATTCAGAGCAAATTTTCGAAGTTCACCAATTGTTGGTCTATTAGTTGGATCCACATCCCAACACCTTTGCATCATTTGCACATAATCATCAGGCATTCCTAGTAATATTGGTGGTCGTAAACCTTCACATATATCAGCAACTAAATGATAATCGCGATCTCTACCATAAAATGGTGGATTGCCTGCAAATATTTCCCACATTAACATCCCCACACTGTAGATATCAGATTCTTTTGTATGCTCTTTGCCTCTAAGCAGTTCAGGTGCAGCATATGATGCAGGTATATAGAGTTGACCTGATGATTTTTTATCAACTGGTCTACATAAACCCAAACTAGTAATACAAACACTACCACCTTCACTCATTAATATATTACCACTGTGTAGATTACAATGGATTAAATCCTTTTCATGTATATAATATAGTGCACTACATAAATAGCTAAAAATAATGTTCTTATTTTTTAATGTTAAATTAGAATGATTTTTTTGTAGATAACCTCTTAAATTCCCTTGTTGAGAATGAGCTAAAACAATCACATAATTTCCATTACCTTGGGATTTAGTTATACCATAACAAGGGGCAATTAAATTTGGACTAATCTTACAATAATTCAATACCTGTAATTAATTATATAATACAATCAATTAATTTAAAATAAATGGTTTAATTTAGTTTAAATAAGATAAATTACCTCATCAAATAAACGTTTTCCTGGATTACTTGAATTATTTAATGATTTTAATGTTACTTTCTGAGCTCCAAAGTAAATAAATTTATTTTTATTTTCATCATAATCACATATCTTTCCTCTTGTCCACCTGGCGGTGTAAACTGAACTGAATCCACCTTCTGTTAAATTTTTTACGTTTTCAAATTGGTTGCAAGGTATCCATTCTATAATTTTATCTGGAAGGGATGAAAGCTGTTGACATTTTTGAATAAAATCATCAATTATTTCATTTCCAGATGTCCAAGTGCCGAAAAGACTCTGTAGGTGTAGACCAATACACTTTTCACAAAATTTATCAGAGTATCTTGTTGTCTTACACTTGTTACACTCTCTTGGTTTTCCCCATTTTTCAATTGCATTATTTAATTCAAAAGCATAAATATATTTTTCTCTA